GAAGTATACAATTTGAACATAGCAGTGAGTTCAACCCCTAGAATTCAACAAATTATTATTTTTATATATTAACATACCTTTATTTAGGATATGATCTTTTATTTTTAACCATACGAATTAATAAAATGATATAATTTTGTCAAGAATTATATTATCTGAAGCTGCTCATTGAAGGAATAAAGGCTCTTGTATAGAACTAGCAATTGTTTTACATTCACCTTTTTAAAAGCCAAGCCGGCTAGTGTTCTGAGATGCGGCCAATGCAACTTGCTTCACATGGGTAAGTAAATTTATAAATATACATTAATATGGGCCAAAGCAAAAATTTGTCGTTAACACATTCATGAATGGTAGGCGGACATGTGAAAACATTTGAGAGTTTAGTTAAGTAGAACGTTTTATTCAACGATTTTGGAATCCATTTATTTGAGATTTCAACAGCCATGTCTCCTTTAAATTCCATATTCATAAATAGGGTTTTCTTTTGTACTCTTATTTTAAGGTAATCTACATAGTCAAAGGAATTGGATGGAAAGGATATTAAATAAGTATTTTATGCACTGCTAAGGTATTGGCAATCCACGAAGGAATAATGTATAAGTATTACAATTGATTGATCACTGGGTGGTGATCAATGTCTTGCTTGTTTAGTCCTTATTAGTGCAGATCGAATGCTATCGATCATGTTGCAATGTGGCCACCAGTCTAGGTGACTCGACACTGCGGGCACTATGTATTGAGATTTAGATAGTGGTTGGAGGTAGTCAACAGGAAACCCTGGACCCGGGTTTCGTGCTATTTGGCACTCGTCAGCAAGGTGTACCTGTAATCTTGAGGGAACTGGTGCTCCCTGGCGGATTCGATCTCGTGTCACCCAGCTTCACAGTCAGAGACGTTACCACTGAGCTATCCGGGCAGCAACTAACCTCCTTTAAAATTGTGAGTCAAGGCTGACTGTGAAGCTGGGTGACACGAGATCGAATCCGCCAGGGAGCACCAGTTCCCTCAAGATTACAGGTACACCTTGCTGGCGAGTGCCAAATAGCACGAAACCCGGGTCCAGGGTCTCCTGTTGACTACCTCCAACCACCATCTAAAATGTATAAGCATACTTACGCTTGTTACCCCTCGTAAAGGAGCATAGGTCACTTATCAGAATTATTTTTTTTTTAAAATAAAACATAAAGAAGATATTCTATCGAGAAAAAAAGAATAAATTCCAAAGTTAATTATGTTGTTTTCTTAGTTTTGGAAAATACAATCAACAAGAGGTTTTGTGAATATTATAGTCATTTTACTTATTGAATTCATGATTTGATTGAAACTAGACTATCATGACAAACCTAGAAGCCTTTGAACAGCCATTTCTTCCTAATATCCTAGTACAATCGGAAAATTATTTTCAACAATTTATTATTTATAATCATAATGTCACTTATATTGTTTTCATCTTTCCTAATACAAACTAACTTATCTGTCATTATATTGTTGAAGAGAGAAAAATTAAAAATAAAGAAGATTGTACTGTATCTATTTACACATATACAATTTACTTATAGAATATAAATATCACTAATCTAATCAAAACATAAATATTATGAACAATACTATTTAGTATCAATCAGTTCTTTACTGAAATACAAACAAACAAACAAATAACTATATAGATCAGTAAGATATAAGATAGGGTGAATATATTGGTTGTTGCATACTGTATTGACAGTGATATATATATTTATTCCTTTGTTTTGCCTGCCTACGGATACTACTATTTACATAAACAAATAGTATATATATATATATATATATATATATATATATATATATATATATATATATATATATATATATATATATATATAGGGTCTTTTCTACTGCCTCAACATATAAATTTATTATCGGTAGATTATTGTATGATTTGATTCATGCGTAGGATTTAAACAAAAATAACGTATGAATTAATCATTATTAGATAAATTATTGAATAATGAATATTGTTGAAAGAGAAAAAAACAATGAAAATAAATTTTGTTTTTTGATAGTTTAAAGTTTTTTTTAAAATTTTTAATCAGTTTACAAAAAAAATGTTTTGATTTTTTAAGAAAATAACATTCTGATAAAGAAGGGTATTGTGGATATTATAGTAATTTAATGCTTGAATTGATAAGTCAATTAAAACTAGACCACCATGAAAATCTGGAGGCCATAGACTACCGTTTCATCCTAGTGTGGAACTCCTCTACAGTGCGCATCCATGACACTGCATCAAAGGGACTCGAGCCTAGGTCCTTCAGATTTGCTTGCGAACTCTTAACTTTTGGACTACCGAGCCAGCATCCAATGATGTATATGTCTAAATTCAATCAATTCACGAAATTGCACCACCGTCCACCATTTATATAAATGGGTTACTATCTCACAAGTGACCCGATTGAACTCCACCGTTGGATGTCAGCTCAGTGGTCTAGAAGTTAAGTTTTTGCGTGCAAGACCGATAAATCCTGGGTTTGGATCTCACAAGTCGGGGTCACGGATGCGAACTACTGAAAAGTCCCATACTAGAATGGAACAGCCATTTAGTACTTTTAGGTTTTCCATGGCGCTCTAGCTTCAATTGACTCATGAATTCAATTAATAAGTTAAATTTTCTTCCATTGATTCGATTACATAATTAATATTAAATTATAGTTGAAATGACACCTATTTGACGTTAGCTAATATAAATAAATCATGAAAGCAACTGTTTCGTGTTTTTTATAATAATAATAATAAGTAATTATCATACAATCGGAGATAGTGAAACATATATTGTGGGTTTTTTTCTAAGTAATAAACTGAACTCAACGCGCGAAGCCAGTAGGTCCTGTGTTCGAGCCCCGGGTGGTGCGGGGTCGTGGATGCGCACTGCTGAGGAGTCCCATACTAGGACGAAACGGCCGTCCAGTGCTTTCAGGTTTTCAATGGTGGTCTAGCTTCAACTGACTCATGATTTCAATCTGTGAAAATTTCTAAAAATCTCCACAAAACACATTCTGATAAACTATAATGTTTGTATATTCTTTTTTATGAAATAATTCCACACTAAATCGTAATTTTGTATGAGTTTGTTAGGAAATAGAATTATTTCATTAGAGTTTCATATTTCATAAATTAAGTGTAAACTTTAAAAACATTAATAATGAGTATCAGTTATTGCCATTCAGGTTTGAAATACCCGAACATTTTTGGAAATTTACCTGATCATTCTTGTAGCACTATTTGTACATTAAAAACTAATGATTCATTAATTTACATAGTTCTAACCTGAGATTTTGAAAGATCTCTGTGAAGAAAACTAGAATATAAATCTTGATAATCTTTAATGACCATTATTATAATGTGAGTAGACTTTTGTTATATTTGAACTGTATTATAAACAATATTGTCATGAGTATAAAAGTTATCATAGCATAATGGGTTCAATTAGAATGAAAAAAGATTTTTTTTCACAAAATCGTAATGTGGATAAATGTAACTATCCAAGAAAACTATCGATTTTGGTCAGGATATTGTAACATTTTAATGTATGAAAACCCAGTTAGTTTTCAGACTTACCACAGTGCAGTGAATGTTCATTAAATTTTATTAAACTGGAAGGTTTTTCTCATTTGGCATCCATTAAAGTATTACATTGATTAAATATGTTTGCATATTTCTACGATTATAGAAAGTATTTCAATCTGATTCAGCCAAATATCTATTTTAATCAAAAAGAGGTTTTGTGGATATTATAGTAATTTTATAGTTAAATTCCTGAGTCAATTAAAACTAGACCACCAATGAAAAACCTGGAAGCACTGGACGTCTGTTTCATTCTAGTGCGGGATAGTAGATGTGCACTGTTGAGTAGTCCCATACTGAGATGAAATGGGCCGTCTAATGCTTCCAGATTTCCCATAGTGGTCTAGATTTAATTGACTCATTAATCTAATTATTAAAATATCTGTTTATTCATTTTTGAAGAACTTCGTTATTAATGAGAAAATCTTCTCACTGTACATATTCCTTATGTGTAATCACTTTCATACAATTAGTTCCCTTTATGAATTTAAATAAAGCAAGAGCAAATATTGATGCAGAATAGTATGAATTCATAATATTTCGGTTTCGCATCAGCTGCATACAACCAAATATGCGGTAGAATTTTACATTGAGATAGTGTAAAACAATTGACATAAATGACTGGAATGACAAAGGTTTACAACAATAACGATATATATATGCAAGAACAGGTCAGAGGTTAATTAGTGTTAGAATTAAGAAAACAATTAAGGAAGTGTGGTGTAATGGTTTAGTGGAGTTATACATTGTGTGATAATTTTAGAGGTAGTTAAGGATTCATGGAATTAAGCAGTGATAGAATAGGTTATGTAATAATTGAATGGAATTTGAAAAGCTAACAAAATTTGAGAGGGTAAGTGGGCTGAAATGTGTGAATGGAAAGTTGGTTTACTAGTTCAGTAATGAGAGAGGAAGGGAATATAACACTAAATAAATATTTTAAAAATAATTAAGATTACGTAAATAACCAACCAATAAAATATAAAATAAAATGGATTAACAGGGTAATAATTAGTTAACTACTGTCTCTTTCTGAATACATAAATCCGGTTTAAGTTTTCTTATCGCGATCGCTTTGGCAAAACGGAGAGCAATCGTACTTTTTTGTCTACTTATAATTTTAAAAACGTGCAGAATATTGATGGTAAGCCCGGTGTCAAGTAAACGCCGAACTATTGCACTATTGAGAGCTCTAGTCCTTTTCAGCCTCAAGTTTTTTGGAACATGCTCAGAAATCACTTTGATATGTATTATTCTTTAAGAAATGATAGTTTACTATATTCAAATCAAGGAATTAATAACATATTCATATAATGTCTACTACAACACAACATGACTATCATTAGATTTCACTAATGATCTCATTATTTTGCATTTTGTATTTTTTTTTCTTTTTACAGTAATTATACCAGCATTAATGCAAACAGCTGCTGCATATGTATGGGCAGCACAAATACGTCGTGAATCTGTGACACCAACACAATTACAACAATGTAAAAAAAATCAATCTATATCAAAAAATAATAATAATAAAATTCAAAAACAAATTAAAAAGCATAGATTACCAAAACAAGATCGTACATTATTTCTATATCGTATATTAGCTTGTACGGCATCACTTCTTGTTCTTATCTTTTCTACATTACCCCAATTAGTTATTGTTGTTGCTAAGCCACAAATAGCTGATAGTATAGATAAACGTTGGGGTTGGTGTCATGCATTTGTATATGCTGATCATGTGACAAGATGTTTTGCAAGTTATTTAATTGTAATACCATTTTTTTTATTATTTTGGAATTTTTTATTTAGTGAAATATTACCACATCATCATTTCATTATGCGTAATGTATTTGGAGTTATTTTAAAATCATCAATTATTATAGCCTTATTTTCTTTATGTATACCAATACCAATTGTAGTAAGACAATATGAGAAAATGTGTACATCTAATAAAATATGTTTATGTGGACCAACAATGCATGGGATTGCAACATTTATATATTATGATTTTGTTGCCACTCGTATTATTCCAGCTATATTTGTTATATTTATAAGTATTGGATTTTTACGTTGGTTACCTAGAGAAGATTATGGTGTATTTTATGAACCAGCAATATTTTTAGCTTTTATGATACCTCATGTATTATGTGAAGTTATTATACATATATTTCATCGTGCTCATATAATCAATAAATTAATTAATGTGAATTTTAGTAATTTTATGCTTTTATCTTATGCATTATATCATATGTCATTTAGTTGTACATTTGTATTGGCTACATTACGTTCAATGTTAAGTGAAATACAAGAAGAACGACGTAAACGAAGTATGCTTTTATATGATGAAACTATTGATACATCGAAACAACCATCATCTAGTCGAAATAAAACTACTATACGTATAGCTGATAATAATAATAATAATAAAACTAATCAAATGCACGGAACTAAACGTCGTACAAATTTAATACATGGTTTACAAAAACAATTCTCTGTAGCTTATCGTTGGAAACCAGATTTTACTGATGAAGAAACTGGTTTTATTTCTGGACAAATAGATGAATTATCTATGGAACAATCAACAAATCAAAATATTTCTAATATAAATGAAAATGAATCTAATTTATCAGATATACAAAATGAAATAAATGAAAAGTGTACAGATGATGCAATGTTACATTATGCTATATTACAAAGATCAGCTAGTTTAAAAAGAAAAGAACAAGAACAACGTATAAAACCACAAGCACATACATCATATAGTATTATACGAAAATTAAATTCACAACAATGTCAACCATTACAACAACAACAACAACAACAACAACAACGTGCCATATTGTATCCTATTAATAACCAATTGAGTTAATGAATTAACATTTCTTATACAAGATTCCTATTTATCAATATGATAGACTCCATCGTGACAGAAATCAATACTCATTTTGAAATATATATATACATATGTTGATATTTCTTTTAGGATTTAATGTCATAATATCATTTACCCTTCAATATTGATTTAGTTTAACCTTACGGTGAAATTTGTAATATTGATTGAAGTTGTTCATGTTATTTCCGATTTGAATCATTTGCCAACTTCATTGTTACATCATAAATTGTTGGAACTACACTGAATGTAACTAGAATTCATTTTGAAATATATCCAGTAAAATCTATACATTGTATATAAATTACCATTATTCAAACATTTCAAATACTATTAGTTCTGTGTATTAAAATGATTATAAACAAAATATGAAAAAATAATGACTTAATGTCTGTTATGAATTATCCTATTAGCTTGGTAGTTTAATAAAAGTTATATTGGGTCTCATAAAACATTGACTTGTAAGAACCTGACATGTTCACATAACTAGGAATAATATATCTGATTATGATCACAGTTTCACTCGTTCTGTCAAGATATATCTTCTTTAAGGAAAAGAATAGGTGAGTAGATGTAAGGTTATAAAAGACACTTCAGCAGAAAACATCTATAAAAATCCTTAAAATATAACTCTTGACATATACGAAGTAACCACGGAACAACATTGTATGTTAAAGTATTCATAGTACTTCATACTTGTTAGGACGGAATAACATGAAAGATTATATTTTAGAAATTTCACAGGTTGAAATCATGAGTCGATTGAAGCTAGACCACTTGAGAGCATTGAACGGCCGTTTCGTCCTAGTATGGGACTCCTCAGCAGTGCGCATCCACGATCCCGCACCACGCGGGGCTCGAAACCAGGACCTACTGGCTTTGCGCGCGAGCACTTAACCACTAGATCACGGAGACGGCATTCAACGGTGTTAATGTCTCGCGTGGTGCGGGATTGTGGATGCGTACTGCTGAGGGGTCCCATACTAGGATGAAACGGCGGTTCAGTGCTTCCAGGTTTTCCATGATGGTCTAGCTTCAATCGACTCATGATTTCAACCTGTGAAATTTCTAAAACTCTCCACAAAAACCCATTCTGATCAGATTTTAGTTTATTGTGATTTTTGTTTGGTGCAACATTTTTTGTATAAATTTAGTTTATACTTTGTTCAATGGAACCCACAACATTTGTGTTGTATGAATTAAGTGCAAAATCCATTTCTGTATTTCTACTATTTCACTTATACATGATATTCGTCGACTTATCATCATCAAATGCCAGTAAAACCTGTAGAATAACATTCATCAAGAATCATACTAACAGTTAGTCGATAATTTATAGATTACGTGTTCTCACAGCGTAGGTGATTCACGATTGTCTTATTCTCTGACCAATCTTACTGTCTTCCACTGAGAAGTGTAATTTATTTTGAAAGAATTATAGTGTTCGATGTGTTATAGCTAGAAATATCCCTTAACAATACATAAGTGAACTGAAAATATGTTCCAATTCTAACCAAACACTTCAGTACATAAGTCAGATTATGAGTACTCAGGTGATGATTTAGATGAACTATCTCATTGTATGAATGTATAAACTTACGTCAAATTACGCAAAACTGGCTATTTAGGGACTAAAGCACTCAATTATCAACCACAGGAATGCATCCTTGAATCTGATTGCAAATAATTTGTCTTGGTCATTTGGTTAGTAATATTAGCCCATCTACACATTATGGTTCACTGCCTCGTAAATAAACGTAAACTTGCTAAGCGACTTACATTATCAACTAGATGATTATCCATACCAAAACATCATTACGTTAAATTATGGTAAAACTGCTTTTAGAAATTAACAACGACTGGTTAATGTTTTATGTATATTATGCTTAATGATATACATAGTTTTCCGTTATCAAATCTAGAACAACCTTTTACCAAAATGCAAACAGAGAATATCGTACACATAAGTGGTAATTTGTTCACTCGATGTCCAGTCGCTGTCCTGTTAGAAATGTCATTTAAGGTCTAACATGGTTAAAGAAACACAACAGATTATAAAAATTATACGGTAATAGTAGACTAGACAATTAGTGATATCTCACAATTCATTATGAGCATGTTATAAGTATTAGGATTATTACTTCTACCAGTAAAATACGTTTCATATGAAATAACGTTAAACGATGCATAAAATCTAAAACCTTATGCTTGTGGAATCAAACACAGTGAATGAACATTCACGTGAGAAAACCAGCTTCTAGTTCAATACACAATCACATAGTGATTTAGTAAAATATAAAAATCATACCTCAAATACATCATTTTCACATCTTCTTTAAATTGTCTTCTACAATCTTTATTGTTTCGTCATTCATGTTATTATTTTGATTGTTTTCAGTTTTGTTCTCTCTTCTCTTTATTTAAATCTTTGTAAACTTCTACTCACAGATATCCCACTTCCTACTAATATCACGTACTACTTATATCTACAAACATCAGTAGCACATATCCCATAAATACTATTTAAATTACTAATCAAAACTTTGAATAAATGTTATCCAAATATTAGTAAACGATCTCATTATCAAGTTATTTAACAAGTTTACTCTCAAAAATCAATCTACATTTATTTTAACCAATAAAAAATGTTTTTCTGGTTAGCGTTTTTTTAGCGAGTTAGTTTTCTACGGGATGGGGTCACTAACCCCATGCCCAATCCACCTACTTTTTCCGGGCTTGGGACTGGCAGTAGTCCCCGGATGAACCCCAGGCAGAGTTCAATAAAAAAAATTAATAAGTAGACATTAAAATGAAACAAAATTTACATGAAAATAGAAATCAATTCATTACTGATTCTTACATAATTATTTTCAATTCTTTAATGCAGAAAAAACATTATTGTTATTATTATTACGACATTTACCACAGTAATATTAAGGTCATGGTCACTATGTACAATAAATAATATACTACAGCACAGCGTGATAAAAAAGATGAATGAAAAAAAAGAAGAAAAACTTAGTGTAATTTGCCTTACTGACATTCATTCATTTTAAAAGACTAAATCTATTTCAAGGATATACACAACCCACTGGTCAATACTAATTTTATATACATAAAACAATAGTTTGGATAAATAAAAAAGTAATAATAATTATGATAGGGTATGGAAAAGTTTTCTTAATTATGCCTTACTGTTATTCAAATTATATGAAATGAACTAAAGCTACTTTACTAATTAGTGAACAACATGTTAGTGAAATTCACTTGGTGATTTTTACTTGTATCTTTTCATTGTTGTTTAGGATTGTAAATGATTAGTCTCTTGTTGGCATATGTGCATCGTGTGCGGATTGCCTTGATATTGCTTTAATTCACAAGCTTTATAAACAAAGATGGATAGTGGCTAGCAGTGCAATCTAGGACATGCGTTTCGTTCTATTTAGGACTCCTCAGTTGAATGTACTTGCATTCCAGAGTTCATGTTCACTCTGAGACTCGAACTCAGTACTATTCTCCTTAAACGTCATCACGTTATACAACATTATAGTTATTTAACATTATAATAAACAATGAAATTACCATAAGTGGTAAAATTTATTAGTCGATTTAGATGGTATTGAATAGAATGAAAACTGACTTTCATTACCTTACCAATAAAACTAACTCCACATTTTTATTCTATTGACATTTTTCTAGTTTTCCGTAGCAACCTACTATTTTGAGCAGTGCACGATCGTATTGACTTAAAACACCAAACAGTTATTGTGATCATAAATTTTTGTGTATAAATAGGATCTTCATAGAAAAGATATTTCGTTTGAATTCACTAATTTGTGTCGTTTCGTTAACATGAATGACGTTAATTTATACCTTCTTGATGATTCATATTCCACCTTGAATCTGGATCTGTCTGTTTTTTATATTATGCTACTGAAGTTATGAACAGTATAAACCTCCGAAACGCAAGATAATTCTTAAGTTCACCACAACACAAATAATGATTCCGTCATTTCATCACCATTACGTAGTCTGAATTAGGACGCGAGTACCTAGTTGAGAATGACTGTAGTAATTTAGTGTTAATCTAAACTATATATTACTTTGAGAAAAGCAGAAATCCAAAGCTGTTTTCCAACTGTAATCTATTTCATTCTCAATAATAATCTAATAGTTATAATATCCAGCTAGTACCATTTAAATGAAAATATACTGGACTCGTTCCTTTCTATATAACGGTATATAAAGCTTCAACTAAAATATTACTCGTTGTACAATATACGACGAAAACGATAAAAAATTATCATTTCATCACTAACAATTTGCAATATTCAGAGTGACAAATCTTCTTACTGAACGGTTGAATTGTTATCCTCAGTTTTTCTAATAACCCCCATACTAGCTCTACACGACAACTTGAACACGAGAGAAAAGCAGAAAAATATGTAAAGAACGCTTTACTCCAAGGTTAGTTTATATACGGAAAATTGGTGGTATTTATAGCATTTCAAATGGCCTTAAGCTTCTGGAAAGTTCTATAACCCTATTAAACATAGCAGGATAGGTAATCATTCATTCAGAAATGTAACATGTGACTTTTCACTTTCTAGATGTGTTTTTTTGAGAAACCTCTATTCAATACTAAATAAAATGTTTCCCAGCGTTTTCAAAGCTTCTTTGAGTTTTTTTTCTAAGTAATATGCTGGGTTTCCCCAACAAATAGCAATACATGCAAGTGAATAACATTTTTTGAATCAAACTTTCATCAGGTTTTAATTTAATACACGTTTATATTTATCACGAACATTAAACCAATCGAGGACATTTGTGTGCTAATGATAACAATGAAAAAGAATCATAAAACTAACTACAATCAGTAAAAATTCTAAATTAACTGTAAGTTGACAGGTATGGTAGTAAACATAAGTAAATTAACAGCATGATAACATACACAAATGTAATGAGACAAAAAGTAGGACAGTTTTCTATAAAAAAAATAATCAGAAACATGTGAATAGTCAGTTTATGTATGCGAATAGTGACGAAGAAGAAAAAGCAAACAAACAAATGTTAGAAATAATTAGTAATATAGTTTCTTAGGTTTCGTCTAGCCAAATGTTTTTGTAGACATAAAGATTGAGGTTGTCTGCTCGAACATCTCTAGCTTCTTCCATGTGTTAGAGACTAAAAAACTTAAGAAATTTGAAGGTATTCAATAAATTACTTTAATAACTTTGGTTATATCCAAAACAGGACTTCTGTCAGTCAAATATAACAGAGCTGCTTATTCAATTTATTAAACCTGTTCCAAACCACAACAGGCTAAATAATCCGGTTGTATGCCTGATGTAGCATTCGCCACAAGAGTAGCCGAGTTGGTAAATACGCATGGATATGATAAAACGGAACAAATTATGCTTTTTTGTAACTACTGAAGGTAGGCTAGGAAATGATTGACTGAGACTGACTGAATTCAAAGCCCTTATCTTCA